GCCTGAGAGGGGGATGTGTGGCTGGAGTCGCCCCCGCGCCCTGCTCCCGCAGGACTGCTTGGGCCCAGAAAGTCCTCCGCTGGAGTCAAACTGTGGTAGAGTGTCAGCTTCTCTCACTCACCTCACCACAAGTCAGTGCACGCCTCCCTGCCGTTCGCAGATTGCCGTTCTCAGAGCTTCTGCGCGTCTCTCTCCTTGCTGAGCCACTGTAGAGGCAGCCAGCCACCACTCAGCGGGAAACCCAAATCGCGGCTTACAATGGCGCGGGGTCCAGCCTCCACACCGAGGCTTTTCTGTTCCTGTTTTAGCACCAGGAATGCATTCCAAGTTGGTTTCTCTCAGCCCAGTTCGTTCCTGAGTCAGCAGAGCATATCTCCACCTGCTTATGTCTCCTTAGTCCGCACCATTCCTGGCTTCTGAGCCAAGTCTTTCAGAGAGCCTCCGGTAGTTGCTGTTATCTGTCCGCCATGTTCTCCCGGAAGTCCAGTAATTGTCTTTTTTGCTAAATAACATTTCATCATACAGGGCAGGGGGTATAGTTTGGTCAGTGGTGCAGTGCCTGCCTGGCACGTATGAAATCCTGAGTCCAATTCCTGGTATCCAAAAACAAACAAACAAACAAAACATTGTACAGATGATAACACATTTTATTTATCCATTCTTACCTTTTTTTTTTTTTTTTTTTTTAATCGGTACCAGGGCTCAAACTCACAACCACATACTTGCAAGGCAGGCGCTTTTGCTGCTGAGCTAAATCCCCAGCCCCTTATCCATTCTTCTGTTAATGAATCTTTGAGTTGTTTCTACTTTCTGTTGATCGTGAATAATGTTGCTGTTAATAATGCTGTGAGAGAGTCAGGCATAGTGGTGTACTCCTGAGTCTCAGCAACTCAGGAGACTAAGGCAGCACAGGAGGATTACTTAAAGCTGTGAGTTTGAGATGAACCTGGGCAATATAATCAGACTCTTATCTCAAAAAAAAGAAGGTGTCATAAATATGTGTACGTTTTGTATGAATGTGTTTTCATTCTGTTGACTAGGTAGATGCTTAGGAATAGAATCCTGAGTCATATGATAACTTTATATTGAATCATTTCAGAGCCTGCCAGTGTTTTCCAAAGGTGCTTCCTTACTATTTTATATTCCCACCAGCAGTGCTTTGAGGATTCTACTTTCTCCACATCCCCTCTAACACTTGTTATTTGACTTAAATAGTAACTCACTGTGATTTTGATTTGCATTTCTGTAATGACTAATAATGTTAAGCTAGTGATAAATGATGTTTCAAGTGCTTCCTGGCCAGTTGTAAATTTTCATAAATTATCTATTCAAATCCTTTGCCCATTTTGAAATTGTTCATTTTTGTTCTTTTTATTGATTTGTAAAAATTCTTTAAATATTCTGAATATTAGATTAGTGCTTTTCAAATGGGAGAAAATCCTATTTCATAGGGATTTTTTTCCGCTCACTTTTCTGGATCATTTTAAAATACGAAAGGTTTTCATTTTGTTGTTACTGGTGCTTTGGATGTTATATTTATGAAACCATTGCCTAATCTAAAGTATGAGTATCTGCTGTGGGAAACAGATTTCAGTATTCAGTTTGTACCTGTTAATTACTGTGACACTCAGTTCAGGCCCTATGGAGATTGGCATCCATAGCCGGCCAGTGACTTCTTATCTGCTGTATGAAAAGCACTTGGAGTACAAGTAGCACACACCAGTAATTTAGTTGGAAATTGTTCGCTAATTTTGATGGGTGGGAGATTGGAGGCTGGTTTCCTTAGTGTGTCCCTGCCTTCTGAGTTTCATTATAGCAGAGATTTTGTTATAGCCTACAGTCTAGGGTTGTTAGGATTGGATACCTTTTTTTAAGCATTTATGAGATATGCATAGAAATTTATATTAACTAAGGTTCTTACATTAAAATGGGGAATAGGAAAATTCCACTCTGTCTACCTTCACACTGTTAAAACTGATGAGTAATTTTCATACATGGTTGCTGACATCCCATTTTCAACACTCAAAAAGAAATCAAGAATCTAAATTTTTGTGTTGTCTTTAAGAAATTGGAATGGTTTGGCTGGAACAGGAGCCTCTCACCTTTATACTTAACTGAATTAAATTCTTATTGAAAATAGGAAAAGAAAAGCATTTATAAAGACAGGAATAGCCAGGGATATAGCTCAGTGACAGCACCTGCCTAGCAAACATGACGTCATGAGTTTGCTCTCTGGTACCAATAAATAAACAAACAAACAAACAAACAAACAGGAAGGTTGGTGGAATCTTTTGCTACGACAGTTAGAAGTGTTGGAATAATAAGGATGATTATTTGTTTTGACAGGCATTTAGAATTTACAGTGAAAGTGCTTTCTAAAGGTAATTACTTGAGCCAGGTGAGCATGGTGACACATACCTATAATATCAGCACCCAGGAGGCCGAGGCAGAAGAATTGGTTTGAGTTCAGGGCCAGCCTTGGCTACTAAAGTTCAAGGCCAACTTGAACTACAATGTGAGACTGTCTCAAAGGAAAAAAAAAAAAAGTAACTATTTGAGGAAACTACTAGTCTCTAGTACTTCAATTACATATAGGAAATAAAATGAGGAAGAAAACTGGTTAATGTTTAAACACACACACACAAACATGTAAGACACTGTAATTGAAATCCTCCATAAAAAAGGTATCTAAAATTATTTTGAACAATGATGGCCTTATTAAGTTTACGAAATGTATTAAGATTGTTTCTTCCAGACTACTAGTAAGTGTTAAGAGGCTTTTTACTAAATATGGAAAAAGGTATGATATCAGTAACTTCAATCTTGTTTTCCACTGGTGTGCAACAAATCTATTTTCATTTTTATGATTTAATTTCTGCCCATTTATACATTTTCATTTCCTAAGAGACTTCTCTAGTGTCTTATTTTACATGGTTATTTTAAAGGCAAGTTTTGTGTAATCAATTCTAGATCTAGGTTTTTAAATTCCAGGTGTGGCTGTTTTTAGCACCTGTAAGTGCAGGGCTACTTTTTGCTTCTGCCATTTGTCACATGATTGTGTTCTCAAGAAATTTTTGCAAGTGTTAACACTGAATAAAATAAAATATATTAAAAAGTAAATTTGTGACATAAGCAACATTGTTCTATAACAGCTTATGAGATAGAGTTAACATACTGCAAAATTCACTAAAGTGTATAAAGTGTACTTACACAGAGATGTGTAAATATTGGCACTAATTCCAGAATATGTTCATGGCTTCTGAGAGAAAGGCCATACCATTAGCAGTTACTTCCCATTCTTCCTGTTTCCTGACCCTTGGAACTACTTACCTACTTTCTGTCTCTATGGGTTTGCCTATTTCAGACATTTTATATAAACTAAATCATATAATGTGTAGTCTTTTGTGTCTGGCATTTATTTGGCTTAACGTTTCTCTCTTTCTCCCTCTCTCCCTCTCTTCCTTTCCTGAGACAAGTCTCCTTTTGTAATTCAGACTGGCCTTGAATTCATGGTGATCTTCCTACCTCAGCCTTCTGAATGCTGGAATTACAGGCATGATCCACCATACCTGGCTTCTGTCTGTCTGTCTGTCTGTCTGTCTTTCTTTCTTTCTTTCTTTCTTTCTTTCTTTCTTTCTTTCTTTCTTTCTTTCTGCAGTGTTAGGAATCAAACTGAGGGCTTCAATGCATGTTAGACAAGTGCTGTACCACTGAGCTACTCCACTAGTCCTGTTGTCCTTGTTTTTGAGAATAACCATCATAGTAGACATGAAGTAATACCTGTCTTTTTTTGTTTTGTACCAGAGATCAAACTCATGACCTCATGCTTGCCAAGCAGGCACTTATGCCACTGAGCTAAATCTATGGCAGCGTTTCACTAAGCAGTTCAGACTGATCTTGAACTGACTTTGTACCCAAGCTGACCTTCTGCCTCAGCCTCCCAAATGCTGGAATTACAGATGTGTGCCACCATGCCCAGTCTCACTATGGTTTTGATTTCCATTTCCCTTAGACTCAAGATACTGAGCGTCTTTTTCTGTTTTCTTTCTTTCTTTCTCTTTCCTTCGTTCCTTCCTTGCTTGCTTGCTTGCTTCCTTCCTTCCTTCCTTCCTTTGTACCAGAGATCAAACTTAGGACCTTGTATTTGTCAAGCAGGTGCTTATTGAGCATCTTTTCATGTGCTTATTTGCTATTTGTGTATTATCTTTGGGGAAACATATTATCTCTAAATATGGATGGTCTGCGGAAATAGCATACCGTTGCTTAGCTTTCCTTATCTGAGATAGAGTTTTTGGCTTTAAATTAATATTCAAGTGTTTTAATCTATCTTTGAGATCTTTTTTTGGTACCGGGAATTGAACTCACAACCTCACGCCTGCCAGGCAGGTGCTTATGCTGCTGAGCTAAATCTCTGGTTCATTGAGGTTTTTTTATAAAATTAATCTTAGATATAGCTCTTCCCTATGAAAAGGAATTATATTCTCAGTTGAGTTTCTATAAAGACAGAGTTTATATCCACTTTTTGTTTGCTGTAGGGTCTTACCTTGTAGTTCAGGCCTTGAACTTAAAATATAGCCAAAGTCAGCCTCAAATTCGCGACCCTTGTGCCTCAGCCTGCTAAGTGTTGGGATGACAGGAATGTACTACCATGCCTGACAGTTTGTCCACACTTTGATAACCCATGATAGGTACAGTATGCAGTAGGTCCTACTTGACTCTTTTATTGTGAATTTCTATCTCTAGGCTTAAAAAGTTAGCAAAGGTTAAAGTCACAGGTAGCTAATCCAGTGGCGCTCATTAAAACTGTTATAGAGTACTCAGCATTCTGAGATGTGTTAGCTGATCTTGAATTGAAAGAATAGACCTGTAAAGTAAGGAAAATTGGTAGTTGACATAGCAACTAAGGTTGAAAGTAGCATTTTGTAGATTGGGGGCACCGGCTACTTGTAGATGGGCATAGGGAAGTACGTGATTTCATCCATATGTCCCTTATTTCCCAGCGTGGTACTATGCGACGACGCTATGAAGATGATGGCATTTCAGACGATGAAATTGAAGGGAAAAGAACTTTTGACTTGGAAGAGAAGCTCCACACCAACAAATACAATGCCAATTTTGTTACATTTATGGAAGGGAAAGGTCAGTATCATTTTGATTCAGAGGCACAGTTCCTTGTATAGGAAGTCATAGACGACTATTAATGTAGCATATATGCAACTAAAATATTGCCCGTTGATGCTATTTATCTATCCATTTTCTTTGGTTACATAATATGACTTGTTCAAACCTCTCTTCCCCTGTTCTCGTACCCTTGAGACATTCTTTATGTTGGAAGGAGTCAGAGATGGGCATGGTGGCTCATACTTGTAATCTCAGTAAGTGAGAGGCTGAGGCACAAGTACAAGTTTGAGCCTAGCCCAGGCAACTTAGTGATTTTTTTTAAGGCTCTGTCTCAAAGTGGGGTGGGCACTGGAGATATAGCTGAGTGCTCCTTGTGTTCAAATCCCAGTACTACAAAAAAAGAAAAAAGTAAAAATGTTGTAGTCTTTTATTAGGCTAGGAATGATGTTGTTGTTTTGATTTTTTTGAGACAGGGTCTTCGTTTGTAGCACAGGCTGGCCTTGAACTTAATATGTTGCCCAGGCTGGCTTCAAACTCAGTGATCTTTCTGCCTCAGCTTCCTGAGGGCTGGGATTACAGATGTGGATCCACCATGCTTGGTTGTTTTGTTTTCTTAATGGATTTTTCCTTCTCTCATCCCTTTTCTTGGGTTTAAAGTGTACAATAAAATTCCTTTTGTGCATATACTCACCTCACTGAAACCAAGGTGGGATTCTGTATGTGTCATATAACTTTGGAACTTACCAAACTGACAAAGATGTCATATCTGTATTGTAGTGGTCAGAATTAAATCTTTGGTAAGATTAATGGCAATTTCTAGTTTATGAAATAACTCATTAATAGTACTGTACCTTCTGTTAAGTTCTAAATTTCCTGTAAAAATACAGACATAGCAAACTCCTAAAGCCCTATTCTTCAGAGTGCTATTCCTATTTCCTATGAGGAACTTCTTGATAAAAAGCATGTGTTTTTTGTCTCATAGAACACAATAGTATGCACAAAAGAAAAATCTGTCTATGCTTTATTTACTTCCTGTTTATGATCCTCCTTCCTTTTTTTTTAAACTGTACCTTTTGCCTTTCTAATAATTGTTTTTCTGTGGTGATAGATTTTAATGTAGAGTATATCCAGCGGGGTGGTTTGAGAGACCCTCTGATATTCAAGAATTCTGATGGACTTGGAATAAAGTAAGTGTTCTGGGCCTGGCTGGGCATGGTTGTAAAAGTAAACTATGGGAGTATTAAGAACCTAGAGCTGGGCCGGGGATTTAGCTCAGTGGCATAAGCACCTCCCTTGCAAGCACGCAGTTGTGAGTTTGATCTATGGTACTTAAAAAAAAAAAAAAAAAACAGAGCAGTAGATAATTTAAAATAATTTCCCCCTTACTTAAAAATGTGTTTTAAGGTGGTTCAATCCCAGCACTCTGGGAGGCCAAAACAGGAGGATCACAAGTTCAGTCTATGCTGGGCAGTTTCATGAGGTCTTATAGGGTGGAGAAAGGATAGCAGTTCAATTCAAAGACCCTGGGTTTAAATCACTAGTACAGCCAAGAAAGGAAAAGAAATGTTACACATATAATTCATGTTATAAGTAAATGAAACAGTGTAGATGAGCTAAGAAGAAATTTAAATCTCTTGAAATCTTCCACTTTTAAATATTCATTGTAAACATTTGTTATGTATTTTTTCCTATATCACTGTGTGAATATAGTGTATAATCATATTTTAAAAGTGATTCAAAGTGTAAATGTGAAGATTTATGTGTTTGACTGGGGAACCATGTACTTGAAGAAAAAACTCACTCTGATTAGACAAGTTGTACTTTTGATTTATACTCACTGATGTTTGTTTTCTAGGATGCCAGATCCAGACTTTACTGTGAATGATGTTAAAATGTGTGTAGGTAAGTATTAAGCTTTTGAGTTCAGGGGCTTTGAGGCACGGATTTAAGACACAGGACTGAGTCCTAAATCTCAGACTTAGATATAATGTTCTGGAACATTCAAGTGTATACTCAATTAGGAACTACTATTTTATTAGCCTCTAAGAATTTTCTCACAGAAAGTTATAAAAGTTACCTCGTTTAATACTCACTAACCAGAGAACCTTTGAATCTGTATCCTTTTCTTTTATCACTGTGTATCCTTCCCTGTCTCCATAAGGTCCTGTCTTCCTAGGCAGCCTATTCAGGAAACTGAAAATTTTTCTCTGAAACAAGGAGTCTTCTGTCAACTATGATTCTCTTTCTGCATCCTAAAAACAGTAGAGGTTTTAAGTATGGATACATTAAAATTTGTCATCCATGATTAAATTGAATCTTTTTTTTTTTTTTTTGGTCTTTTTTTCATTTTTATCAGTACCAGGGATCGAACTCACGACTGCCTGCTTGCAAGGCAGGCACTTATGCCACTGAGCTAAATCCCCAGCCCCGATTAAATTGAATTTTTAATCCAATTTATATTTTGTTGTGTTTAAAATTTAGGAAAAGAAAGACATTTTCATGAGATAATTAAAGAACAGAACTTCAGGAAGGGATCCAGAAACATTGAGCTTAGTTTTATACTGCGGCCCTGGGATACTTCTAGTATCCATAGGAGTTCAGAGGTGGTAGCTGTCCTGTACACAATAAGGCAGTAAAATTGCATAAACTTTTTTAGAAGTGTTTCCAACAGGACGTGAGACAAAAGGAATATTTTCCTCTTTCCTCCTAATACCATAATTCTGTTGTGTTTTGTCCTCTTGAACTGAAGCTCCAGTGCTATTTTTTGCTTTGAAAATAAATATCACCATACGTTTTCTTGCCTACTTGAGGGTCCTTTACTCAGACTACTGAGTAAAGTCTTCAGTTTATCTAAAAGATGAAAGTCATAGGGCAGGTAGTTCTCTGATGTCAGTATTACCCATTCTTTCACTGTTCCTGTGTTAGATTCTAGCCATCTGCCTGCCACTGTTATATTCTAGTACTTAGAGCAGACCCTAAATTGTAGTAAGTACTTAGTAAAACTGTTGAATAATTAAAACACTTTCCCACTCTATAGAAGCAAAACTTTCTCTCTGGGGCTGCCTTGCATAATCTACTTGAATATCTTGAATATTTACTAGCCAGTTATTCCACTTTTGTTTTTGTTTTTGTTTTGTTTTGTTTTGTTTTGTTTTGAGGTGCTGGGAAGCAAATCCAAGAACTTGTATATGCTAGGCAAGTGCTGTACCACTGAGCTGTATCCTCCACCCCTCACTTCTTCCATCTTTTCTTTTTTCATCATTCTCTTTTATACTTTCTTTCTTAATGGACCTTTGGGACAACAATTCCCTGGGTCTATAACATAGTAGATAACCGTAGCTTTTCTTTATTGCTTAGGTATTCTTATGGTTTATGGTCCATGAGTGACCTTCATGTGTAATAACTTGTTAAAGTGGGATTCTGGAAAGGTGATGGAACTTTTCTTCCCCATGTAGATAATGGTTGCACTAGCAGGCTGTCTGATGGTGTTATTTTAGAATTTTCTAGTCTATTGAAAGCTTAGCTTCCAAAGGACGATTTGGACAGTAAAGTACAGTTAATTTCCATCAATATCAGATCTTAGCCTACTTGGTCATCCTGCCTGCCTCCTCATCCCACCAACCATGGTACCTCCACCAACTATGGGTATGTTTCCTGAAACAACCAGCAAATAGCTTGCCAGAGCCAGGATAGGCAAAAAAGGGCCTGTCCTTCAAATGTTGGAAAACTGTGCTATGATCACTGATTGCTGCTTGTGATTATAGAAATACAAAGAGTCAGATGACTGTGGTTGATCTTCCATCAACTGTTGCAGGCTTCTCTTCTCCTATCCAGGCAATTTCCAGGATATTTTGTAGGGATATTTTTCTAGTTCTTTTCATTTTTCTATCTGGAAACCAGACATTGTAGACTTAAGTTGTTCAAAGCACCTGCATATATGGGAAAACTGGATAGTGACCACACATGCCCAGGACAAGATGCAGGCTCAGAAGACATAAAAACATTGTCTGTTTATACCTAAGTTTGATCTGTGGCACAGGAATGGCCTTACAACAGTTAAAAACAAACAAGGTCAGGCATGATGGCACACACCTGTAATCTCAGCTCTCACGAAGCTGTGGCAGAAGGATCACTGGGAGTTCAAGGCCAGCCTGGGTTACATAGTGAAACTGCATCTCAAAGAGACCAAAACAAATAAACTACAACAAAAAACTCCTGAAAAACAGTGGTAAATACATACCAAACCTTGGGAAAAGGGAAGAGTCTCATTCCAAGTGTTACCACATTACTATTATTTAGATGTCCAATTTTCAACAGGAAAGTATGACCCATTAAAAAAGACAAAAGTGAATTAATAGAAAATGTCCCTGAAAAAGACCAAATTGCTAATCTAAGAAAGATTTTAAAACAATTGCATTAAAGATACTCAACTAAAGGAAGGTAGAGAAGTTGGGAAAACAGTTTATGAATGATCAAAATTTATGATCAATAAAAAGAAAAAGGCTAAAAAGAAACCAAAAAAACCAAGCATGGTGGCACATGACTGCATTCCCAGCACTTGAGAGGCCGGGGCAGGAGGATTGTTGCAAGTTTGAGACTAGTCTGGGCACTTTTAAATTCACTAGGAATATTCAGAGGCAGATGTCAGCAACTTTCCTATACTATGCCTATTGGTCATCATGTTTCTGCTTCACCACTGCCTAAAGTGATAGAATAAATGACATGGATTGAAACTTGTGAAACTATGAGCCAAAATATTTCATCCTTTAAATTTATTGGCGGGGGGGCCTCTTAGTACAATCACCATTCTAATAATTTTTTATTAGTCCATGTTTGTAGTACATGGTGATTATAGTTATCAGGAGGACTTCATGTACATATGTCTCCTTACCCTCCCCTCCTCCCAGCTGCATTTTGTTGTTGCTGGTTTTTTAAACAGTCTCAATATGTAGTTCAGGGTGATCATGTAACTCACTATGTAGTCCAGGCTGGCCTTGAATTTGCAGTGATCTTCCTATTTCAAACTCTGCTTAGTGCTGAGATTACTCTTGTGTGCCACTGTGCCCAGCTGTTATTGCATTTCCCCCCACCTTCCATCCTTTTCTTCCTATTATCTATCTTTTTATTCTAACTTTTTTTTTTTTTTTTGGTTATTTTTTGGCTTTTCGAGAATGTCTTGCTATGTAGTTCAGGCTGATCTTGATCTCATTGTATAGCCTGGGCTGGCTGTGAACTCATGTCAATCCTACTGCCTCAGCCTCCCAAATACTGGCACTACAACTGTGTGCCACCATACTTGGTGTATTCAAACTGTTTTTAAGAAATGCTCAGTTCATGACAGCTCTGCTCACATGCCATCTTTATAAAAGGGGGCAAGTTCAGCTCTCTTCTCTTTTACCTTTTTGTCTCTAGTCATATAATGACGCAGCAAAAGGCCCTTGCTAGCATCTTGATATTGGACTTCCCATTCTCTGTAACTGTGAGCCAGAAAATTCTATTCATTTACCTAGTCTTAGGTATTCTGTTAAATCAGCACAGACTATGACAGGCCCTAAGAGGTGATGTGGGACGCCATTGAGCAGACTAGTATACATGTTGTAGGAATATCAGAAAGGACAGAGAGACCATGCAAATCAATAATGGCTGGAAGTTTGCAACTTTGATCAATAACATGAATATAAAAATCTCAGTGAACTACAAAAAGATGAACTTACAAAACCCTTCCCAACCACCATTGAGGAATAGTAAAATCAAATCTTGCAGAAGCCAAAGATAGACTGTTAGAAACCTCAGGATAAAAGTTGCTCATCACATGCAGGGATGTATGATAAGATTATGAAATGATTTCTGATCATAAACTTTGGAGTTCAGTAGGAAGTGAATCACTGTCCTGAAAAATGCTAAAAGAATGTCAGTCGAGAATCTTAATTAAGTTGCCAAAACTGTCCTTGAAAAGGAAGGGAGAAGCTAAGATATTCTCAGATATCAGAGCAAAAGCCAAGAGTTGTTACCACTAAAACTCTTCTGCAAGAAATGTTCGCCAAAGTCAGGCATGGTAGCATGTGCCTGTAATCCCAGCACTTAGGAAGCTGAGGCAAGAGGTTCACTGAGAGTTCAAGGCCAATTTGGGCTACATAGTGAGTTCAAGACCAGCCTAAAGTACATGGCAATACCTATCTCAAAAACAAAACAAAAAAAACAAGAAAGTCACCTTTCAAGGTGAAACGAAAGGACTACACTTAACTTGAAGCCATATGAAAAATAAACTTCCCAATAAAAGTAAGTACATGGATCATTATAAAGGCTAGTATTAGTGTGACAATGGCTTGTTAATTCTTATTTCCATATAGTGTAAGACTAATGCTCCCTACCTCTACCCCCAGTACTGGGATTGAACCCAAAGCCTTTGCTCTGGGATGCATCTCTAGCCCTTTTAAAAATTGTTTTTTGAGACAGACTCTCATTAAGTTGTGAAGGCTGGACTCAAATCAACACCCTCCTGCCTCAGCCTCTCAGTGTGCTGAGTGTGTACATATGTGGTACAATTTTAAAGTAATTGAAGAAACGGGACAAGAAAATCTGTAAGATGTATGTAGACATCAAACAACAAAATGACAGTAGTATGTCCTTTCTTTTCAGTGTAAACTTGAAACTTCAATCAAAAGGTATTGATAGAATGTATTTAACAACATGATCTTACTGTGCTTTCTGCAAGATACTTTTGTAAATAGTAGTCAAAAGAGAAGGGGTGGCTGTAATAAATCGGCTTTAAATAAAAATGGTTATAAGACACAGTGACATGCAGTGACACGTTAATGTTCAACAGAATAAAAAAGCAATACAAGTCATTAGCACAGTGGTACCCCAATGACAGACCACCAAAATATATAAACCAAAAACTA